GGAGCGCAAGCAGAACTGTGTGATTTATTTCGGGAACGCACCCCTCTGCGTTAAACCAAAACAAACCTATTATTGTGTGAACGACGGCATAAGCGAAAGAGCATGGTAATAGAGAATTGTTTATTTGTTGAAACGGTTTACGTTTAACATATGTAGACACACCTACAATATCGTCGCCGGGCCGATTAACCGTCATGTGGAAGGAGATCCAGGGGTTTGTGTTAGAATTTCAAAATTTTTATGAACGGACAAAATGGGAAAGTAGCAAAAGCGGCGCTAAATATGTACATATGTATATATGTATATACATACATACAAATGTGCAATGACGGTGGGACGATAAGACGACAGTTGAAGGAGATGAATATTACGCAAAAGTATTTTTTCTTTGATTCTTTAGTTAGCACGAATTAATTCGTGATATGGATTAATCTATGTGTGGCTGCTTTCAATTAAAGGATTTTGAATGATGCCATGATATCCCAGGGGATGTCGAATCAAATGCGACTGGCATTTGTGATGCAACCAATATGGGATACTGCAGTACTGAGTTTCAATGAAATCCATCTAAAGTACAAGAACAAAGAAAATTTTTGAAAACTACATATATACATGCATACATACATAAATGCAATTTTATTATACATACATATATCTTAAATCCAAGTAAATATTAATTTTTTTCATTAGCGCATTGACGCCTTTAACATTTAGTTATAAACTATTTTTTGTTTTTGTTTTATAATCAACTTACAACTTGGCAACCCTAAAGACTTTGATATTATTTGATCCTATATTTAAATATTAATACGTACCTATGTATGTATAATTTGAAAGCTATGGACAAAATTCTTTAACCAATACGTTTTATGAATTTTCTGCCCGTGCACATTCAATTGATTAAAATTGCTTTTGTGCTGAGAGCTATAAAGTTTTAGACTTCTAAATTGATGTTACCAATAAATTAGCTTAGTTAAGGATTTTTCTTTGTTTTTTAATTAAATGTCATATGAATTTAATTTGAATTATTCGGCTAAACTTTTATTGTTTTATATAATTAGAGCTACAAATATAATTTCATATACAAATACATACATATGTGCATATATGTGTGCAATATAAATATAAATACGCACTCTCATATATTAACGTGTGCAATTAAACTTGTTCGTTTGATTTCGTTATGTTGTGCTCAGACATGTCTAATCGTGTTAAGTAGGGCTGGGAATATCCGTGTTACGGATAAAATCCAGACAACCGTTAACCGGATATCCGATTAATAAACATTTATCTTTTATCCACATATCCAGTTAATATCCGGATGTTCAGATCTTTTAATCAGATATTCGAATATCCGGATATTCAAAAAAACTGAGATAGAATTCCCAACCTTGGTGTTAAGTCAACTTGAAAACATATTTTCATATAATTTTGGCAGTAAAATACTAAATGTGTTTTTGTGTATCGTAATGTCCTTGAAAATTCTGAAAAAAGCGTCTGCAAAATATATGTAGTGGTATTTACTTTTCCTTCTTCTCGAATGATTTCAAACAGTAATGACAGTAGTGTCTTCCAGGCTTATCCTTTAAAATTAGCAATATTGTTATTTATAAAAATTAACAACTACCTAAATGGCACTTACCAAACAAATGAAACTAATTGGATGTCCTAAGGGACCGTCGCCATCACAAACCACTATACGTTCAGATGTTATTATCGGTTCAATTTGGTGCCCATATTTCATGCCCCAGTTCTTATTTACCCAACGTTTAGCGTTTTCAAATCGTGCATTACGATAATCATCCTCGGCCCATACCTGTATGCAAATAAATACCAATAAATATATCGTCGTTTAAAGTACAAAACCGCGTATCGTCATTCTGCAAAATCGCGTAACTGGCATTAGCTGGCGAAAATTGGATTTGCTCACACAAGCTCGTGGCTCAATCCTTATCCATTCGTCCTGAAATATAGTAGCCAGAAATGCGATTACTTTATAAAAAAGCGTTTTTACTCTCTAGAAAATAATTTATTATTATTATTCAACCTCACATAAGCGTTTTTGCATTATCTTGATACGCGGTTTTGCATTTTGTTGATACGCGGTTTTGTACTTTAAACGATGATATGTACCTATGTTTAAATTCGTTCAGGCAGGCTCTGCAACTCACTTCCGACGAATTTGAACCAAAGCCACTTTGAATTCAAATTAAATGGTGTTGAAATTCACGCGAAAGTGAATCTGCCTGATAACATATCTGATTATTTATTACCTGTCCTGTATGTGTTACTTCGGTTAAATCACTGCGAAAACGTAACGGTTGAATTTTATTAATTCGCTCAAATTTAAAGATATTTTTCGAAAACTTTGACGGAAACATTACTATTTTTGTAAAAAAAAAAAATATTTGTTAAAAAACATAAACTCAAGGCGTATTCAATAAAATAATAATAATAATAAATACGCCTTGCATAAACTCGTCACAAAGGGTGTTTCTCATAGACTGCTTTGATATAAACTTAGACAAGTGCGTATGAATTCCTTCTTTGCAACAGGTGGATTTACCTGGCAGATAATTTTAAAACCTACATGAGAAAACGATCCTTAATGATTTATTTTCTAGATTACGCTAATGGTAAGTGATTTGGTGTACGTACTTACACTCCGTAAGACCCAGGTCCACCCCCTTGTCCTCAAAATAAATAAAATGTCTCCTCAGATCTGAATCTGACTGGGCAAAAAACTTAGTCAGCGGTCAGTTGGATGAGCGTTGGTGAATGGCATCCGACGGTTGAAGCATGATACACCTAGTGAACATCTATCTTACGGGAGAGCGCGACTATTCCCAAAGTCGTAAGGATAGACCAATTCTTAGCTAAATCATTCATGCCGACAAGACAGCTGTATGCTGAATGCAATGGAGAAGATTATCGACAACGAAATACCATGAAACATGCTGAAGCAGACCGAACGTTCGGTCGGACATTAATATATTAAATAGAGCCTATTATCGTTGGCGTTGTGGTTTGAAAATTAAATAAAAACAAAATATTGGTATCACCGTTAGCATTTTCGATATTTATCTGATGTACACATACCGCTAGATAGTAACGACATAAAAACATTCGTTATCTGTCGTCGTCATGAGATCTAAATTGAAAGATTGCCGATTTCTTTTCTTCGTCGTTTGTTTCATGCATACCTTTTATTTTCATTGCAGCAGTTAGAATCTTAAATCTTTTCTTTTAGTAAATGTATATCACAAAAAAAAAAAAAACAATTTACAGAAAAGTTTTAAGCAGTTTTAAAATTCTAGCTAAATCTCCCAAATAGGAATGAACATCCATAGTTCTTTGCCCCCGAGCGGTTGACTGAAATTAATTCGGAGAAAAAAAAACCGAATTTTTAAAATTATCGCCTTGGATTCATATTAGGTAGCATTGTCAGCTACTGAAACAATTTATTTTCATACATATAGTTTAATTCATTCTTTATCTTAGATACATTTATGGATGCAAACAAATTTAATGGTGGTGTCCATCTTTCTTTACGAACCTTAGCCCACAGTAGCCGCAGATTTGAGGACCAGGTTTATCCTTGAAACAAATAGCATAATAAAATCATTACATTTTAAATGTGGGTGGTCAATTTTACAATAATTTGCGTTTATTTACCAAATTGATATAGATTTTCGGATGCCCCAAATTAGCATCACCGCCATCGCAATAGACGACACGTTCGGTAACTTCGATTGGTGGCACTTCATCAATCAATTTGATACCCCAATTTTCATTTACATATCGTTTTGCGTTTACGAAGCGAACGTTGCGATAGTCATCCTTATCGAAAACCTATTTGAAATATACGAATCCACATTACATTGCGGTAGCAAAAACAAAATAGGAACGTTTGCGTAATAGGCTGATGTAGTTGTGGTACATACTTGACCAGTGTGGGTGGGTTTTTCTAAATCGCTACTGTAGTTACGGCATGCTTGGACGACGGACGATCCTAGAGCACGGTTACAGCCATTGCGGCTTAAAAATTGCAATCCAGTGGATAGTTTTGTGCAAGCCATGGAATTAACTTTTTTAACCTCTAGCAAATGTGATAAAACGATTGAGAATCCAACGAATAAAATAAACTGTCAAAATCATATGTTTTTGTGAAGTGATGCCACGGCGACAGATGAGTAGAAAATTTTAAATCTCTTGAAGCATTTACTTCACAAACCAACGTAACAAATTATCGTAATTTGGTGGCCAGTTCGCGCAATAGCATATTTCGCGCCCATTATTACAGGTTTTTGAAAGTAAGAAAAGTTCACCCAAGAGCCGGGTAGCGTTCTTTTTTTAAGAGTTCGCTCCCATAAGGTATACTGTGCCCATAAGTCAGTTGTAGAAAGTGGAAAAATATACCCAAAGGTCAGCTCTAAACTTTTACAAGTAAGTTCATCTATGTAGTATAACCCGGCTTTACAAGGATGGATGTAAATATCCTTGGTATGTCTGGAATACCAACCGTTTAGCTTCTATAGAACTTAAAATTATACTCGATGGAGCTATTTCTTTGGACAATTTTTTTATTTGCACTAATAACAATTAAAAAATTAATTAAGCAGTAGGAAGGGGATAGATACTTGAAAGCAAAATCAGGCCAAATTTTCAATTTTTTTAAACCCCAACGGTTGGCAATCTAGGATTGTTCGAGACTCCTTGCCAACTTTTAACGCCCACTGCACTGTTAACTTCAAAAGGACTAAACTAAAAATGTAAAACCACATTTACATTTTCGATCAACGTGTATAAATAGTATTATTTTCAACGGCCGAAGGGTCCAAGTGTTTTCAATATATATACATTTTTTAATAATTAGGTTTTCGTTCAATAACGTAATTGTACCGAAACAAAAAGCAGGAAAATTATAGGTATTTTGCCCAGTGTTACCCCCATCATAATAGTCATCTATTTGAATCGCATTCTTATTTACAATAATATTTATTTAATTTCCGTAGATTTTTTATATTCAATTACAAATTTTCAAAATATTTTTTTAAATACATAGGTACATCATATGTACATGAATCAACACTTTTATCATTATGCTGGGGTATTTGAATATTTTATATATTCGGAATTTTAGTATATCTTTCCAAAAAAATGGGCCGATAATACGCTTCAATCAATAATACCCTATATAAACGTAATTATTAACGTCTATGTATGCTGTAGTTAACAAATGAGAAAACGTTGAATACTTTACAAAAATAAAAAGTATTTATAATTTAAATGGAAAATACATAATGGAACGTAGATACGCAGGATGCCGATATTAATTTTTTTCATTTGTGTTACAAGCATTCATTACGGCGGACCACAGGAGGCGATTATCAGACGATAGAGTGCGCCTTAACCAAGCATAAAGCGTGCTGGTTATTTATACATACATAATTAGGTTTAATATAAAGAATTCTGCATTTTAGCACTTCAATGGTTTTAATAGAGTACACGTCTATATTTAAACAATTTCTCGTGCAGTCGGTATAAAAGCTTCCCAGTACGATATAATCTGATAAAAAGAAAAATATATACATATGTATTTATATAGTTAATTCAAATTATCGTTTGGTTGAAGTTACCTGTTGTTGATGCGCCATTTGATCTTCAATGTATTTCATGGTATTAATTTTGAACTCACGTACTCGGTTTATTTCAAATCGTTCCATTTCTTTTTTAATTTCCGCCGATATGTCGTCAAACTGCTGTTGGCATCGCTGAACTTTGGTTTGCCACTGCAAATTTGAAAATACACACGTAATAAAATTAAGTTATACTAAAAGTTTTCTTGCAAACCTCTTCGACTTCCTGTTGCGCCTGTTCCAACTTGTCAGTACGGTTGGCCAGTTCGTAACGCCCCCGGTTTTCACGTCGTTTCGACAATTGCAATTGTGCGTGTTGCCAGTTTTGAAACACCTTAACACGTTCATGAAATACAGATTTAACAGCGCTGAATAGATCGATATAATCCTTTACGAATTCCGCCATTATAAAAAAGTCAGAGTTAGCCTGCTCTGACCGTAGTAATTCGATTTTTTCTTCTACATCAGCTAAATTGGAGAGCGCTCGAGAAAGGCCGGTGTGTTCTTCACATGTACTCAACATGGCCGCGGACTTTGCGACCAACCCGGTAAGGGCGGACAACTCTTTGCGTGTGGTAACAAGCGATTTGAGCGCCGAATGTAGTTTTTGTAGATTTGCATCTAAATTTTCCACCTCAGTGATTTTTTCATCGAACCACTAAAATTAAGAAAGTGTTTAATAAATTGAGAAATTGGCGGTAATTTTCACAATATTTCTGCTCACAGCATCGCTTTCATCCATTTTATATGTAATTTTATTTACTGTTTCGCCAACTTTATTGAAAAGACGCATTACGCCAGCACCACTCAGCGTTGCTGTATTAACTGCGCGAGGAAGTTCCTTCGATTAAATAAAATAGATTATAATAAGCATTTTAATTGCAAGTTAGATAGATTTACTTGATCACTTTCTAAAAAGTTGATGAAATCGAGATCAACACGCAGTACTGGATGTTGGGCAGTGCGATTCACATAGCGTTGTAAAGCTGCGCGGCGTGTTTCGACCCATTCAGCATTTCGGGGTGCACCGGGCTCCGTTTGTTGTGGACTCATTTTCACTTTAGTGCTCCCTGTACAAAAACATTATGTAACCGAATAACAATGTTTTATGCACCAGCTTTAGTGAAAAAGTTAAAAAAAATAATAATAGTCATTACATACCTAAAATATTTTTAGATGGCGCTGGCGGGATGATTCTACCAAGTCTTGTATATTTTACGGCTAAGACATCATGTATTCCTAAAAAGTCGCTAAATCGTCTCAACGTACTAAACTCAGTGCGCTTGAATTTTGGAATGTTTGTTTTCGTTGTCACTCTAGGGGAAAACGTATTTATTAATACATGTACATACGTATCGTTACCTTAATATAGAGATGGCCTATTAAACATGTTTGTTTCCTTACAGAGTTAATAAAAACAGTCTTCGATTGGGTTAAAAAATGAGGTCCATGTCTGTCTATATTAAGGGAAAACGCTATATTTGTCTTTAAATAATACAAACTTGTATGTTAGGTATGAACCGATTCCATCGCCGACTTTTTGTGGTTCTGCCACGTTGACTTCAATGAAGTAGTCGCCATTGTCGGTCAGTACATCTTCCAGATTGCTGGATGAAATGCGGCGCTTCAAATAAAAGAAGATATCTTACTTTAAAAAAGTTGTTAAAATACGATAAATAACAAAAATTTCCCATTTGTTCCTTTAACATATCTATCACCATTATTCAAAATTCAGAATCACAATTCCAAGTTATCCATGCGTTAATCGAGCCTAATGCACCCAATCAAATACCATAAATATGTAAATACACTGCCGGAACAAAGTATTGGCATAGCAAATTTTTTACAATATATGCACCAATTTTTATTCTAATATTTTTCCGCCAACTTTTTATAAACATATGGTTCATTCTACAACAAAAAACATAAAAATATAATTCCTAAACTTTGTGCAAAACTCAAACAAATTTTCAACTCTTTAATCAGATTTTTTTGAATTTTTTTGAGTACACAGATTTGTAGCCCAATCAATTTTATTATAATAAAGTACAAGTTTTAAGTAGCTAGAAATTACCGTTGCCATTTTTTTTTCACGCAGTCTTCCGTACAAAAAATGTTTTTTGAAAATACTTTATATGGAAAAAATGCAAAACACCTTCAACAAAAAAAAAATCTCAAAAATTAATGGGATTTTTTACTAACTCCGAACGTGCATTTTTTTTTACTGGAATTTAAGGGGCTGCAAAACCGTACTGAAAAAAATTCTAAAAAATCTGATTAAAAACTTGAAAATTTGCATGGAAATTTGCGGAATTTTGGCGAGTTTTGCACAAAGTTTAGGCATTATATTATTATGAGATACTTCACATGAGTAGTTTGAATGAGGATGTGCCAAATGAGTGTCCGGCATGCGGAGAGACCCCACATGACTCGAAACATCTCTTCGCATGCCCGGAAAACCCGACAACCCTAACGGCTTTGTCCTTGTGGACCAACCCAATAGAAGCTGCACGCTTCCTAGGGCTGCCGTTAGTGGAACTTGACGACAACGACTGAGAAACCAACCGATCTGGACGGGGTTGTTGTAGCCGCTACAACAACAACAACAACATTATATTATTATGTTTTTGTTGTAGAATGAGCCATATTTTTATACGAAATTGGTGGAAAAATATTAGAATAAAATTTGTTGCATATATTGTGAAAAATTTGCTGTGGCAATACTTTGTTCCGGCAGTGTACATACATACATACACACATAAAAAATTTTGTTGATAAGATGTTTTACTTTGCGTCTTTTACAACGCAAACTAAAATTTCCAACCAAGCAGCGTATTACAGTAAAGCGCTGCGCCGGCTACAACGTACATATGTATGTGGGTTTGTATGCGCGTACAGCTATCGATGCGATAAACAATTAAATGAGTATGAATATAAAAATGTAACACATTTGAGACACCGCCCATTATTTTCTCCGATTCAAACCCAGTCATATTTGCCAAAGTTGCAACTGAAACCATTAGGTGATTTGGTCTCGCTGGTTAAAAAATAATGATTTTTAATATTTAAGATTTAAGGTTCTCTTACATGTATTTCAATAGTAGGTGTTACTGCGAATAGATCGTTGCTCACAGTACCAGGCGCTGGTACTTCCTCTTCCTCGTCGTCTTCCACACCGGAGGCACTGCCGTTATTTATGTCCACATCAGCGAATTGCTTCTGAGCATCGGCTATGTTTTGTTCATCGGCCATATTTTGCTATTCAGTTAAATGGTATTAGCTACAATGTGCCAAATTATTAAATTAACTATACGATTTCGCGTTATAGACGGAGAGAGATCGCAAATGTTTAGTTTTATTCAACTACCTAAAAACACAAAGAATGCAGATGCAAAATTTCTATCTGTCATTTGGACGGTTCAACTATGTCGATAAAGCAGTTCAGCCGTGAAATATTAGGTTTGTATTGTTACGATTATCCTCGAAACCTTGAGGGATTACCCAAATATACTCGGGCTCGTATCGCTGGATTGTTAAATAAATGCTAACGATGACCGAATTGTAGTACAATTAACTTTATTGTACAACAAACAATTTACAATACTTGCTAATACAGTAAAACACTTTACAATACTTGTTAAAGCAATAACAACGCTTTACTACTTGTTAACCCAATTAAACTTATAGCTTGCTTATTCGCAACTCGATTCTCCGCTCACTTTACTTGTAGCTTGCTGACTTGTAACTGTCCCAACTCCGCTGTGTCGTGGCTCTTATATACCTGCGCTCACACTTATGGCAACTCTAGAACGCTCTGAAGTTTATCGCTCATTCTCTTTCTCTCGCTGTTCGCAGTGTTCATCCAACTTGACGTTTCTCTTTGTGGAACATTCTACGTCATTC